AGTTGCTTTTTTCCCTCCCCCCCCCCCCCCCCCCCCCGGTTTTCTATTCTAATCCCATTCCTGTCTAGCAGTGTGAAAATTAACATTTAACTTGATACTAGGGCTTTCAGAAAACCTCTAACCAATTCACTTGTTCAACTATACCTTAAAAATAATCTACCTTGAACACACACTAAAACCAAACAAACAAAAAATAATTTAAAAATACTGCTCTAATTTAGGCATACATTTTGTTACAAACCCTAGTTATGTAGGAAAGGTTTCATGAGTTTCATAGACCGTGTATGTATATAAGGAAGACTCCCCATGACCGTGTTCTGTCTAGAACCTAGTAGTATGTAAAAAAGTTTAAATAAGAATTCCAATTAAACAACATAACTTGGATGAAAACAGCCAAACCAAATATAACGCTATTACTGTGGAACAGTCTAACTTGTGCCTATAGCAAAATATACACCAAGAGCCAAAAGCAGCCTCAGCATTACTTTTGCATGCATTATTCATTCCCCAGTATCATTCATTCATATTTTGGTATGTTTTAACATTTTGATTTGCCATAATACAAAAGTAAGATTATACCTTTATGCCTTAGTGTCACATATGGAAATAAAGTGAGACAGGCCCAACCTCACCATATTCACAGACTTCTGCCCAGTTAATAATTACGAACAAAACTGCTAGGTGCATTAAAATCCTGGTTTTGAACTGCCATTCACAATGCGTCTTGCTATTTAACCTAAACAGTACACACTTCCATGATCTTTAATGCACACATACGAAAAAAAGTAAACATTAAAAAAAAAATCTCCATTCCATGTTGAAGTCAGCTTCCTCCCAACAATCAGCTGCACGAGACTGTGTAAAATTACTTTCTGAGATATTTCAATTATTCCATCACATTCCACATGCAGTAAAGAACAGCAGATGTAGGAAACAGTTTCTATTCTAGCTCTTTTAACATTGTTTGTTAAGCCAATGACTAACCAAGCTAACCATCCAATGGTGATACCTCAGTAAAAAGCATGCTGCCTCTTCAGAAAAGTTTGGATGCAAGTTTTCTGCGTAGTGATACAGACATCCTATGCTTTCTGCTCTGTGCCTTCGTAATAGATGTTATTACCAACGCAGAAATTATTTTGGTTTTCCAATGGCAGTAAAGTAAAATCTTTCCAAATAGATTTGAAATTTAAGGATTTAAAAATTTTTGCCACCATAGACAAAATAAACTTCAGAAGTTTGGTTCAATGGAAACAAAAGTCTTTCAAAGGCTCATCAGACATTCTAGGTATGTAGGCTTTAACTAGAATCTATGCTATTTCAGCATTTGTTTGTATTAAAGAACTACAGACCTCAGTTACCTTTTAGAGACAAAGATCCAAGCTGCTTTACAAACAATACTCTAATCCAGTCAGCTACATTTTTTTTTCCTAACTGGATAGAGGACTGACACATTTAGGTTGTAATAGAAAAGCAAAATTTACTAGAACATAAGAGCAAAACACAGGTTCTGTCTTGCACTTCCTCACTTGAGCCTTACAAAACATCAGTATACTTAGCCTTAAAACAGAATTCTTTTTGCTTTCTGATAACCCATAGAACTGACAAAGCATTTGAAAAAAAAAAAGGAAAAAAGAGAGAGAGAAAAACGAAAAGACTCATTAACTATACTAATACGGAGTTCACATTATTCTCCTGGCATACCATATTGGGCACTCCAAGTTCTTCTGCATAGCTGAAAGCACATTTTGTACATCTCCAATAGCAATCACTGAGAAGGCCATCCTTCATATCCAAAAATACTCTACAGAAAAAAAAAAGTAATCAGCTTTGTTTCTGATCTGTTGCATCTCATAACTATGTTTTCTCCCGTATGGCTTTTCTGGAGCATGCTGAACATCGAATATTTAGCTGCTATTTCTTGAGTGAGGCTTTACAGCATTGGAGTTCTTACTCTGAATGTTTACAGTTAAAACCTGTCAAGTCTCTCACAGTCAAAGAGGCAAACTGAAAGGGTTTACAGAGGTAACATTCAGCAGAAACTCAGCAAGGGCACACACAAGCGTAACAGCAAAAAAAAGGAGCTTCCTAGGTGGAAAAGCATGTAAAGGAGACAGCAGACATGCTTACGCAAAGGACCCTGGGAACTGCCTACACCAACCAGCACAGGCAAGACCCTACTGCTGTCCCACAAACGGGGTTCGTTTACCTGGTGTGCAAGCTAATAACACACAAAGTCGAGGTATTTTCAAATTAACTTAATTGATGCGCATGAATAGGTGCCTGTCTCAAGACAGCACACCCTTGTCTCAAAAATTCTCACGTTTATACACTTAACTAATACATATTCATTGTTATTTTCTTCAATGATTGGTTCTTTCTTCTTCACCCCTCATGTAAATTAGTGCGCAGACTTTTTCCTTCATTGTCTTCTTTTGAGTAGGTGGTCAATGAGTCGGTGGTCACAATCTCCCCCTGTAGGGATTACCTTTTACCTACTTCTTCCCTAATCTTGGCAGTTCCAAGTGGTTCTTCAAGGTTTATTGACCAGACCACAATCCATTACCTCCTCTGACATAAAGCTCCATCATCTAGTAGTTAGTTCCTAAACCCCAAATCACATCTAGTTATTGTTTCCCTATTTTAAATATTAACTGATGGGGGCTGTACACAGGACTTTAACAGCTCCCTAGTTATTTCAATCACATTATACATATTAATTGATAACACCGCGGCAAGTACCGCAAATCCTGAAAGCAAGGAGAAACCGCTTGACCTTTACGCGGCGGCAGCTCGGGAGCAGGGACAGGCCCTGCAGCAAGGCCTATCAGCAGGCCGAAGCGAAGCGGCCCAGCACCCAGCTCACCGCGCTCCAGCTGCCCGACCCCCACCATCCCGCCGCTGCAGGGAGAGCCGGTCGCCGCTGCTACGGCCCACCGGGACGCTGCCGAAGCAAAGACAAAAGCAAAGGCAAATCGCAGCCGCCCGGCCCAGAGCCACTCACCCGCCCTCAGGAGCCGCCCGTCCGCATCGCATTTCGCGCCCTTTCCGCCACGCCAGGACACGGCGCACCTGAGCAGCCAATCCTACACCTCAGCCACAGCACGTGGGCCGAGACGCGTCCTCTTATTAGCTCCTTCCAGTCGCGTGCCGCTCCCGCTCCTGCCACGGCGGGGCGGTGCAGGAAAGGGCATGGCTGATTGGCTCTGCCGTGTGACGTCGCCGCACGTATCTAATTTGCGTACGGCGCGATGCATTGTGGGAGCTGCGGTATGGCCTCGGAAATGCGTGGGAGGTGGCGGTGCCCCGCCCCCGCGCTCCCTGGCTCTGTTTATTGTTGTGGTTCCACAGTGTCTGGCCCTGCCCCCGCTGGCCAACCAGGGTGGTGAGGTTGATGAGTGGCAGGCGGGACTGCCAATAGTATCGTGCGGAGGGTGGGGGGGGCGGCCGCGTTCGGTCCGCCATGTTAGGATCGTCGGGCCGCCTGACAGGGCTTCCCTTGCCTCCTCAAGATCGCGGCATGGAGCCGCAGGTGAACCTTCGTGTCACCTGCCGTGGGGAGACCCAAAGTTTCCTCGTGTCAGACTCGGCGCACACGACGTGGGCGGATGTGGAGGCCATGGTGAGCGCTGCCTGTCCCGTCCCGCCTCGCTACGGGAGGCCGAGCGGAGGGCCCGCTGCGGGGCAGCGCTGCCGTAGCTGCGGTTGCCGCAGCCGTGGGGAGCCGTGTCAGTGAGGTGCAGGGAGTGTAAGCGCCTCTCTGAGGCCCTAGCATCTTCTCTCTCGTCTTCCTAGACTGTGTCCCCCATTTCACAGGCTGTTAGAACTGGTGTTTTATTCTGCTGCTCAGTTTTTCTTTTAGCGTTAACAGTAACTTTTACTCCTGTTTATGTGCTTAGAGTGGCATGAAAAGCCTGTTTTGGATAAAGCTTCTTATGGGTCGCTTGTTTTTCTGTGTGAGCAGGTGTCCTTAGCTGCGTGCTTTGCTCTTTTCCACGGTTACGGATACTTGGTTTTGGCACTGTCTGTTCCTCTTATTTCCCACTCTTTTATGCATTGAAGTAGATAAGGTGAAGTAGCACTCTTTTGTTGCTTATAGAATGTTTTTCTGCAGACTTATCTTTGCTGTCGGGTGTACCGAGTTACTAATATATTTTTGGTTTCTTGCTTCCTGGCATCTTGTGTGTGCTAGTTTGGATATAACTGTTTTTGTTACTGGGCCATGCATGCATAGGCAGTTGCTTATGAAGGTCTGTATATCATGCACTTGGTATATTGAAGAGTTTTTGTTTGGATGTTTACTTCCAGTGCTATTTAGTGAAAATTCCTGTATGGGCTGAGGTTGAAATTGTGCAGTAAGGATTCCCTTGGTTATGTTGAAGCTGCAGTGATTTTTTTTTTTTTTTTTTTTTTTTTTTTAATTCTGTAGCAACTGTTCTGGTTTTTTTTTTTTTTGCTTACTCTCAAAGTTGCATTTTCAGAGATCTTGCCAGTATTTTATTTTCTTTCTTTCAGTTCTTTTTTTTAGCTAACATATTCCAGTACCTTGTAGGTGGTTCTTGCATTGTAAATTATTCAACTTCAAAGTTTACACTGCATCATCTTCACTCATCATATTTAAGTCTTCTAGAAGAGGCACTAGTTCAGGCTTAAAATACTTGGTGGCAAGTAGACCCTGCAGGAATGTCTGAATTAGTCAGAATCCTACTTGCATCAAAGCTGGAAGCAGATCGCTATGTAAGCGTGGTGCTGCCCTTCATCTTTAGTCTGAAAGTGAGGGTGTGTTTGTTCAGTTCAAGGTGTGGTGTTCTATTATAATAATGTTTCTCTAACCAAGGTAGTACCACTGGGTGTCTCTGCGCTATGTTGTGTGACTTACTGTTTCAAGGTAGTATCAGTTAAACTGTGTCTTCCGTATGTTTTAATGTGTTATTAAACATTTGGTGTTCATAAGGGATAACCCAATCTCTGGTTCTAGCTTGAGTTTTACAGGAACAATCTGTGGTGCTAGACAATATAGATACAGACCACAGTCTCTTCTTGACAAGCTGAGTTGGTTTTCTTGCTGCGCTCCCAAAATTAATTTGGGATATATCACTGGAAGAACCTGCCTGTAGCACATTCATTGCAGAGTGTTAAGTCCCAACCATCTGCTGTCTTGTAAGGCTGCTAGTAGTGTTCCTCTGTTAGGTCCAGGCTAGCAGAATGTCTTGGGTATATCAGTTTTTCACAGAGAGTTTCTGTTAAGAAAAATATAGCTTGTGTAGGTAAATGATATAAAAATGCATGTGAGCCTCAAAGACTGTTACTCAACATAGGGAAACAACAGCCTTCATTTATGGTTCATTTGATGCTGTTAGTTCTGCCCTATTAATGCAAAATACAAAATAGCTGCTCAGCTTTATTCTCCTAATTCTGATCTCTGTAATGGATTTATATGTTCAGATGTACAGTGCAACAGCCAGTGAGTAGCAGAATGAGATACTTTGCTCTTTTTAGTATTTGAATTAATCCTAGTTTCTCAAAACACAAGTAGGTTTGTGGAAAAAAGGCTGATCACCTGTGTGAGCTGTCTTCCCGGTACTTTTTAATGTAAAAGTTGGCATTCGGTGATTGTTGGCTTTAGCCTCTGTATATTGCAGTGTTTGCTGTGACTGAGTTCATTAACCCTGAGCTAGTCCTCTTATAATGGAAAGGTTATTATTATTTATTTTGGGGTAAACATTAACTGGGGAAGAAAGTGAAACATTAAAGAAATGAATTTTTTCTTTTTGTTATGGAAAGTTAGTAAAGGTTGGAGGCAAGGCACTGGGGAGAGTTGTTCAACTCCAGAAGAATGGATTTTGTAAAACTGTGTTTATTTCAACTGAGAAACTGAAGGGAGGGGTGGAAGGTTTAAAATATTTTTCCCTATTAATAATCATGCTTATTATGTCTCACTGTGGTTTTGTGTTCTTTTTTCTTACAGGTTAAAGTTTCATTTGACCTGGACAACATTCAGATCAAATACATTGATGAAGATGATGATGAGGTAAAATATCCGCCACCCCACCCTCCCAACAGGTCTACCAAAATATGTCTGGTGTGAACCTTTCTGCCTCTTGATAATTTGTAGTGGGTCCCTGAGGAGTGTGTATTATGCAGATCAGAGGTGATTTTTTTTTTTGCCCCTTGATAAGAAAATAGCTGTTAGTCTTGTGGTTTCACTCTTAATGTAGCATACTTATTTTAAAATAATATTTTTTTTAGAAGCTACTGCCTTTCTTTTTCCCACCCCGTAGAATCAGCCAGTGGTTCTATGTGCTCTGAGGGAGTGATGCTTCTGTTGAGGGACTCTTTTAGTTTTCATTTTATGAGAATAAGGTAGTTGTAACCATTTGTGTCTGCAGCCATGGTAAAGCCCTGTCTCTTCAATCTACGCTCCTTCCTCTGGAAAATGTAGGTCCCCTGTCATTAGCATATGTTTACTTAAGTGATCTGGTGTACTCAAATCCTCTGCTTGTTTTATGCAAATGCTATAATCTCCAAGCAGATTACTGTCTTGGAAAACAAATTGGTTGCTTCTGGTTGTCCTTGCTGAGTAACTTCCAGCTTGGTGTAACCTCACCCTCTCATATTCTTTCTGTTTATCTAGGGATTTAGAGTAGAATTTAGCTCTCAAACAGAAGGTAACAGAAGTGTTCCACTACTTGGTTTGTAGCTCTACTAAATTGCAGAGATGGGGATCTTAGGGCGGGGAAAAAATAAAAACAAAGGGGAAATGTCAAGATGCTTGCAGCAGCATTTCAGGGAAAGACTCTCCCTGTATTTTCCAGCCTGCATCTATATAAATATATAGATGCATCTGTTGAAGATCTTTTTCAAATACTAATAGAGTAAACATGGTTCAGAATCATGCAATGCTGTAGTGATTAAATAGCTTCTTGTATTAGTAACTTCTATATGAAAAATTGATAAATGAGCACCTGTGGAAGATGGGCTTGGCTTGTGTCTAAATCATGAAACACTTAACTGTTCTTTTGCTGAGCATTAAAAGCGACCGGATACAACATCTGTGTACGTTTATAGCAAACCCAGTGGTAGTGGCTGCAGCTTCACTCCAGTAGATGAGACCACACTTGTTCTGGGTGCTAGTAGGTGCCAGAGACCTTGCTTATTGTGCAAATCTAATAAAGGACATGGTCTACTCCAGAACACCATAACATCGATTAATGATTAAACATGGCAGCAATAACAAATATCTGCAGAAGTGGTATTTTGGAAACTCTGAATAAAAGTACATTTATTCTGAAAGCGTGTTAATTTTAAGAGAATCACAAAAATATATCAGTGGCTATTACTCACTATTATTTCTCTTTGCAGGTCTCTGTGAATAGCAAAGGTGAGCTGCTACTTTACTGAAGTGAAATCAGTAAACGGACCCCAACTGTTGTTCGTGTTTTTGGAGAAGCAGTTGAGAATGCTTGGGTTTTGATTTTTGCATTTTATGTATGGTGGGACATCAAATTCTTCCCAAAGCAAGGAGTTTTTGATCCATAGGAACAAATTGGAAATTACTAAATTGGTGGAATGTGAAGTCTAGGCTGTGAGAGCATGTTTGCTTGTTGTCATGTATACAACTTCTTCTTTCAGTAGCACTATTTTAAAAGAATTTACAGAAGGTATGGGAGAAATTGCTTGATGTAAGGGTCCCTAAATACTGTGTGCTAAACTTATATCTGTTGTTTGAGACAGGGAAAATTCACATTTCTTTCCCTTTTTCTTTAGAGGAATATGAAGAAGCTCTGAAGGTAAATGCTCTCTTTGACTTTTTTTCAATATATTTATCCTTCTCCAATTAAAATTGGTGTATCTGAGAAAAAAAAGCATTACCTGGCCCATGGAAATCAGAATAACTTGGTGTTATAGCTTTGGACACTAGCTTGAATGTTTTGCTACAATATTTTTTTCCATCTAGGCTAAACTTGATTTGTATAAATTAGTTGAATAGACAGTTGTGATTCAGGGCCCTGAGCAGCCAATTCATTGGTTAAATGACTGGCTTTCTCAAACACTTAAATGGTAATCCCATGGTTGGAGATACTGGGCTC